CCCGCTTTAAGGACACTGACTGCTATTCAATCTATAACAGTGAAAAAAGTTTTTTTTTTTAAATGCAAGCTATTGTGACACCAGTGAGTGATGGCACTGGGCACCGTATCCACTGTTAGCGTAACACACCCGCTTTAAGGCACTGACTGCTATTCAATCTATAACAGTGAAAAAGTTTTTGTTTTTTAAATCAAGCTATTGTGACACAGGATCTAGTGAGTGGCACTTGTCAAGCGTATCCACTGTTAAGCGTAACACACACCAGCTTTAGGACACTTGGCTGCTATTCAATCTATAGCAGTAAAAAGTTTTTGTTTTTAAATCCAAGCTATTGTGACACCAGATCTAATTAGTGGCACTTGTCAGCGTATCCACTGTTAGCGTAACACACCCGCTTTAAGGACACTGACTGCTATTCAATCTATAACAGTGAAAAAAGATTATTTTTTTTTTAAATCCAAACTATTGTGACACCAGATCTAATTGGTGGCACTGGTCAGCGTATCCACTGTTAGCGTAACACACCCGCTTTAAGGACACTGACTGCTATTCAATCTATAACAGTAAAAAAGTTTTTTGTTTTTAAATCCAAGCTATTGTGACACCAGATGTAATTGGTGGCACTGACTGGGGAAATGGGCACAGTATGCACTGTGAGCCTGTCACAGAAGCTGGCAGCAGTGGCAGACAACTGACTGCTATTCAATCTATAACAGTGAAAAAAGTTTTTTGTTTTTAAATCCAAGCTATTGTGACACCAGATGTATTTGGTGGCACTGACTGGGGAAATGGGCACAGTATGCACTGTGAGCCTGACACAGAAGCTGGCAGCAGTGGCAGACAACTGACTGCTATTCAATCTATAACAGTGAAAAAAGTTTTTTGTTTTTAAATCCAAGCTATTGTGACACCAGATGTAATTGGTGGCACTGACTGGGGAAATGGGCACTGTGAGCCTGACACAGAAGCTGGCAGCAGTGGCAGACAACTAAGTGCATTTACATTAGATAGAAAAAAAAAATCCAAAAAAAGCATACCCTTATCCCTAACCTAGCTATGCTTTTCCCTATCTTATGAACAGCAGCTACACTTTCCCTCCTCTTACTAAGCATGCAGCTTGAGAATGAATCTAAAATGGATGCTGTCCAGTAGGTGGGAGGGTCTGCTAGGGAGGCTGTGCTGCTAATTGGCTGGAATGTGTCTGCTGACTGTGAGGTACAGGGTCAAAGTTTACTCAATGATGACGAATAGGGGGCGGGTCGAACCGCGCATATGTTCGCCCGCCGTGGCGAACGCGAACATGCTATGTTCGCCAGGAACCGTTCGCCGGCGAACCGTTCGGTACATCACTAGTTTGTACATGAAAATGCAAAAAACTTCTAAGATGCCTGTAGTACACCGAATGACCGATAGGGGTCAGTGTGTAGGTGAAAAATGCAGTGGTTGGTTGATTTTTTACATGAAATACAATAATGTCTGAGAAGCCGGTAGTACACCAAATGACCGGTAGGGGTCAGTGTGTAGGCGAAAATGCAGTGGTTCATTGGTTTGTACATGAAATGCAATAATGTCTAAGAAGCCTGTAGTACACCCAAAGACCGGTAGGGGGTTTAAACGAATGATTTTCATGAACATGCAATGGTTTTAGAACAGACATAGACAAAATGCAGCCGTAAAGTGAGGACCTGACCCGTGCATGGTGCCGTGGGACTGATGCCTGGCGTAACGGGTAGGTCGACTTACGGTTTGTGAGTCACTTGGACACCATCCACGGCGATGGATTGAAGAAAGAAGGTGGTAGGCCGGAAAAGCCTGTGGCTGGATTCCTGACACAGCTCTGCTTAGAAAACCTCATGGAGTAATCAGGTAAAATGGCGTCTGGAATGACCCGGAAGTGGAAATCATTCTGATGCTGACCTCAAGCGATATGAGTCAGGTAAGGGGTGTCCCTTATATAGGGGAGTGAATTAATTTAAGCCCCTCCCACAAATACAGGCCAAATGGCCTTAATACATATATAACAAAATACACTTAGAATGACATTCTATATCTATCTAGCTATATATAAAATACAAATAACCGCTAATAAATATATATAGATAAATATATATAATTACATAAATAACTACATAAGTGTACACGTAGACTTTAAATACATATATATGTATATATATATATATATATATATATATATATTAAAATTCTATGTGTACATTTAAGTAATATTTTAACATAATTATATGATTTTATTCATTAAAATTTGATTGACATGCCAGAAAACCCAGGCAGAGTGCAAAGAATTTGAATTGCAAGCACTATATTTAACCCGGTAACTTTCCAAGACACCATAAAACCTGTACATGGGGGGTACTGTTTTACTCGGGAGACTTCGCTGAACACAAATATTAGTGTTTCAAAATGGTAACTTGTATTACAACAATGATATTTTTAGTAAAAGTGACGTTTTTTGAATTTTTCACACACGAACAGCACTTTTACTGACGATATTATTGTTGTAATATGTTTTACTGTTTTAAAACACTTATTTTTGTGTTCAGTGAAGTCTCCCAAGTATAACAGTACTGTACAGTTTTTATGTACAGTTTTTATGGTGTTTTGGAAAGTTAGAGAGTCAAATATAAGGCTTGCATTTCAATTTTTTTCACATTGAAATTTGCCAGATTGGTTATGTTGCTTTTTGAGACCGTATGGTAGCCCAGGAATGAGATTTACCCCCATGATGGCATACCATTTGCAAAAGTAGACTACCCATGGTATTGCAAATGGGGTATGTCCAGTCATTTTTTGCTTTTACCGACAAGCCTAATGCAATTTTCTGTTGCCTTTAGCAGTGCAACTTTTAAATAATCCAGTTTCTCTTGGACTCCATTTAAATTGCTCCAGTCTGATAATGACCACTTTACACATATTCTAATTTTAGAAAAGTCTATTTTTCTAAAGTATAAAAAACTTTTGTTTTTGCGTGGTGTGACTCAGTCACTGTTCTTATAGTAAACCACACTGAGTGATGATCACTGGATCCTAAACTTTCACCTACAGTAATATCTGATACCAAATCTCCATTTGTTAACTCTAAATCTAGTATGGTCTCTTTACAAGTTTTATAGACAATCCCAGTAGGGAGTTTAGAATATGTGTGCTCCTGGCACAAGCAGCTATTTTGGTTTTCCAGTTCACATCAGGAAGATTAAAGTCACCCATGATGATAACTTCCCACTTCGTTGTCATTTTAGCTATTTCCTCAGCTAGTAGATTATCTAACTCTTCTATTTGTCCTGGGGGCCTATAAATCACAGCTACACGAGTTACTGTGTGATTACCAAATTCTAACGTAACCCAAACAAACTCTATATTTGCCTCACTAACTTTTATTAGGCTATTAGATTTCATAATCCCTGCCTGGAAATGATATACCTGTGAACTTAACTTCTGTAGCTGGGAAGGTATTTGAAAGATTCTTAAGGGATAATATTGCGGAATTCATTGAAAAAAACATTGTTATCAGCAAAAATCAGCATGGTTTTCTGAAACATAGGTCATGTGAAACTAACCTAATGGAATTCTATGAAAAAGTATGTCATAAAATGGCATTCAGATAGACAACACATTTTTATTATATGGAATGCTAGGGATACACGTCTAAGCATTTAGAAAAGTCTAGAAATCTGTTAGACATGGTGAGTAAAGCATGTTTTTTGAGAGTAAACAGATAAAATCAAGTAAACCAAGCCAACTGACTATGTATGAGAGACGGTAAGCTCGTTCAGGTTAGGCACAACTGTCTAGGTATAATCTACTCTTGCCGAGAAACGTTGCAAAATCTGAAGTCATGTACATTCAAGGTTAAGCACACAGATACTTTAAAGACACTAGTCATGTTAAGTTAAGCAAATTGATGAATGCCCATGTGTGTAAAGGCCGTCCTCTACGCTCCTCACCCTTGCTTGTAAGCCACAGGCATTAAAACTTTGTTAGGAAACAACAACAACAGTAGTGCAAGGCTGTGCCAAAATATATCAATATGGACTATAAATAATAAAACAGGTATATAGATAAAGCATATATATGAGATTAGTGCATATATATTAGTCCAAGATAGTTTATAGTTGCACTTTTTGGTTATGAGTGTCTTTTAAGGTACTTTGGTGATGGGGTGTCATCACTGTTTATAGTAGTCTGATTGTTCTCATAATATGGAAGATACAAAATAAAAGACCGATCGTATAGACTGTGTGGGTTGCATTTTTATGCTATTTTGGTTCGTCCAAGTGTTTTTATACGAAAGCCGATTCGCCTGAAACAAAATTGTTTTGGACAACAAATCGATTCAAACAAACCACATTTTTTCACCGAGCAGAAGTTTATTGTAAACTGTTCTGAACTGAACATTTTAATTCTGTCATTTCACATTGAAGATAAGTTTACCTTTTCCCTGCAATACCCTACCACTTGCATAATAAAATGCAGACTTTATCTTATATTAACGGAACTTATATTGACAAGTATCCCCGAAATAGGTGTTAGATGAGGGGTTCCCAAAAGGTAGATCACCAGATGTTTTCAAACTACATCTTCTATGATGCTTTGTCGTTCTAAAGGCATTCTAAAGACATGCAGAGCATCATGGGAGTTGTAGTTTGAAAACATCTGTGGATCTAATTTTGAGCACACCTGTTTTAAATGAATATGTGATTTGTTTTGCTTTTTGTTTGTTTTCTTTATCACGTGAATAAATAAATAAATAAAAATGAGGCTAAAATAATTTATTTGTATCTTCTTGAACTGTTGCACGTGAATCAGTGAGAGCTAAATCAATTCCCACAAATGATGTAACACAAATTATAGGCCACCCCCTTCTTGCTCAACGAGGAGGTTCTGTTTGTCATTGGCAGGCTTGTCTTTGCTGCCTTTTTCCACTTCTTGCAACACTTGCAGAAAACAAAGTCTGAATCTCATATTCCAAACAACAAATCATGACGATGGCTACTAACGGCATTCAATTTGACTGCAATTCAGGTAATGTTACATTTTACTTTACCCCAGTCTGCATACTTTTCTTTGAGTCTAATTACATAAACCCTTTCATTCATTGTTTTTTATGGAGATCCAAAGAATCAGGATAAACTAACACAGGGCTTATTCAATAAGTCGTGAACTATTGAATACAAACCCTTCTGTAACAAACTATTTAATTCCCCTACTTTAACCCTTTGTGTCACTATACCCCACTCCCTCTAGCATGTAAGCTCATCGAGCAGGGTCCTCAACCCCCTCTGTTCCTGTACGTCAGTGGTCTGATCTCAATTATGTGTCTGTTAGTCCACCCATTGTACAGCGCTACGGAATTTGTCGGCGCTATATAAATAATAAAATAATAATAATAATAATAGTGAATTGAAAACTGAATTGCAAACTTTAAACTAGAAGAATTGAGCTGGGACTACAGCTGAGTTGGAGATGCATTAGTTCTGTAATTCAGTGGAGTGGAAATTGACTTACAAAATTAAGGAAAAATAGCGGATTTGTAAAAATTCTCCAACTCACGTGTTGTTACAGCGTTTCTATTTTGACATTTGTATTTCAATTCATTAGAGTTTGGGGTTTATTGGCTAGCTGAGATGGAAACATTTGAACTATTTGGGTACATTTTGCAATTCAGATTTTAGTTTAGTGCTAAATAAGTAACACTCTCAGATTTTGATCTTTGCATCCTGTGTAAAAAATGTTGACAAAGACATGAAATCGGAAAAACAAATCAAGAATAATAATTTGTATGGCAAGAAAGCTGGAAAGGTCTCTTCTAGAAATACATGTGTCACAGTTCATTTATTTGAGATGGTTCGCGAGCGGAAATTGCACATTCGCTATAGTAGTAACATCTTGTCCATTCACAATGCGGGGTTTGCTCACTAAACTGAGTTGTAGTAAACTGAAAATTGAATTGCAAACGTTGAGCTAAAATAGTCACAAAACCTCCAAATTGTAGTGAATTAAACCCAAGATGGCACAATTCAGACTGAGTGGGGCTGTAGTGGGGGGTGCTATTGGACTGTAGTGACAGATAATGACTGTAGCAAGGGAATAGGGGTTATAGTGGGGGTATGGCTTTAAAAGTGGGGTTAGGTGCTCTAGTAGGGTATAAGGGCTGCAAGTGGTGGGATAGAGGCTGTGGGAGGGATGTGTATTAGGGTAGTTAGGAGTAGTAGTAGGAGGGCAGGTGTTGTAGGGGGGACATGATATGACTGTAGATGGGGAACAGGAGCTGTAAAAGGGGGGCAGGGACTGCAGAATAATGAACGTGCTATAGAGGTGGAAAGGGCTGTAGAGAGAGGGACAGGGGCTCTAGAGGGGGCACAGGGGCTATAGAGGGAGGTACAGAGGCTGTAGAGGGGGACAGGGGCTGTACAGGTGGGACAGGAGCTGTAGATTGCATGGCAGGTGCTGTAGAGGTGGGGCAGGAACTGAAGAGAGAGGGCACGAGCTGTAGAGGGGGCAAAGGGGCTGTAGAGGGAAGGACAGAGGTTGTAGAGGGGGACAGGGGCTGTAGAGGTGGGATAGGAGCTGTAGATGGCATGGCAGGGGCTGTAGAGGGAAGGACAGAGGTTGTAGAGGGGGACAGGGGCTGTAGAGGTGGGATAGGAGCTGTAGATGGCATGGCAGGGGCTGTAGAGGGAAGGACAGAGGTTGTAGAGGGGGACAGGGGCTGTAGAGGTGGGATAGGAGCTGTAGATGGCATGGCAGGGGCTGTAGAGGGAAGGACAGAGGTTGTAGAGGGGGAGAGGGGCTGTAGAGGTGGGATAGGGGCTGTAGATGGCATGGCAGGGGCTGTAGAGGGAAGGACAGAGGTTGTAGAGGGGGACAGGGGCTGTAGAGGTGGGATAGGAGCTGTAGATGGCATGGCAGGGGCTGTAGAGGGAAGGACAGAGGTTGTAGAGGGGGACAGGGGCTGTAGAGGTGGGATAGGAGCTGTAGATGGCATGGCAGGGGCTGTAGAGGGAAGGACAGAGGTTGTAGAGGGGGACAGGGGCTGTAGAGGTGGGATAGGAGCTGTAGATGGCATGGCAGGGGCTGTAGAGGGGGGGCAGGAGCTGAAGAGAGAGTACACAAGCTGTAGAGGGGGCACAGGGGCTGCTTTAAAAAACAAGCAAAAAAAAAAAAACCACTTTTTAAATAAAAAAATAAAAAACTAATAATTATGAATGGCACGTTTTAGACCTGTGGCTTTTTAGGGCCCACTTGGAGATCTAACCCGAGTCATCATTCCCTGCGTTCCCTTTTTGCCTCTGCTCTCATGGCGCCTGGGCGCGGTGTACATTGTGCACCCACCCACGATTAATCCTGTCTACATTCACAGCCACCGATAATGCAATTATTAATTTATTATATTAAATCTATATTTTAATGCAAATTTTCTGCAAACCGTTGTTTTATTTATTAGTTTGTTTTCCATGGTTTGCAATAATTTTTTTTAATAGCTGTTTGGAATGAAAATAGACTTTTCACATTAGTAATTTGAGAAATGAGAGGTGAGCCATGGGTGCCTCGGGGCCTTAAAACATTTCACACAGAACTGGAGACAGACCTGCCATTGTTACCACAGGATGTAGAGGTCATGGTAGTTAAACTGCCCTTTACAGAGTTTAGTTTTTTCTTTTATTTTCAAGGTTGTGGAAATTCCCGTCTTTTTTTTTAGATTCACAACAGATGGGATGCAGAAAGGGGATATTTTATTTTCATTCTGAAGGAGGTCAGGGGATTGTGGACTCTTTAGCTACAGACTTTCTTTATAAAGGGACATCCCCTGGTATTGTTGGGGGTTCACAGGTCCGGAAGTTGTGGGAAGTCTAAACCCAGAAATGTTATGGGAAATGAAGACCTGAAGCTTGGCCAGCATCTGGTCTTTTACAATTATTTATGAGACTTTTCATTGTCAGGTTGCTATGGAAAACTACAGAAAATTATAATGTTAGCCCTCCTGAAAGGGTAAATGATCTCTTTCAGGTCCGAATGGCCCTATGCCGAATGGTGCACAATCACCTGGTTGCATATGTGACCGTTTGGGCTGCACACTATCTAGTAAAGTCTGGATTTTGTACTGGTGGCTCCAAATGAGCTAGAATTTGGCTGAAATATGGCTGAAACCCGGGCATAGATGCTTAAAATCTGGGTCTGTGTTTTGTCTGAAAAAAATACAATGTCAGCAAGCGAACAAATAGTTAAATAAACTCTCCGCAGCATGAAGGTTAAGTGATTTGGCAGCTGACCAAAAACTGCTAACCAGTCTTCACAGTAAAAAGTAAACAAGCAAAATCCTATTATCTTTACAAGTGGTGCTCAGTCTATGTGTGAATCCTTTAGTTTCTGTATAGTTTCTACAGCCTGCATGCTGGTTTTAAAACTGACACCGAATACATCTGGCCAACTGGTGCCGATTTGGTCATGATGACTGAATTCTAACCAGAATTTGCTTTAGTAAATATCGGAATGTCCTGTCCGATGGGAGATCATCCATTTCCAATGAATTCATCCATTTTTCAGTATTTAGCGAACAGGTCTGCCTACCTGAACATGGGGTACAATAAGGTTCTTCTTGTGGAGCCCCCTAGTTTCTAGAATAATCTAGGATCCTTTATTAAATACAATATGTGTCTGTACATGTTATTACTTGTTTCACAAAAGAAAGCATATTCCATATTGTAAAGGAAGTCTAGAAGGGCTTGTGACTTATTAACTGTGAGTGCAATCAACATTTGAAATGTGGTTAAACCAAAATTTTACTTTACTCCGTATTCATTACTCAAATGAGGCATCAGTTTTTTTGTTTGTTTTGTTAAGAGACTACTACACATAGAGCCAAACTAGGAGGCTCTAGCATTGTGAGTATAAATTTATATACGTACGGATATTATGACACAACAATGTGTTTGCATATTTTTTTCAGTTGAAGCATTCCAGACTCCCACGCATTTGGCACAGTGTGTAGATTATATTAGGTTACACCTAGTTTCTACTTTTTATTATATTATTTATCTTTCAATCTTTTATTCTATGGTTTCATCCCCAAGCTCACTTTTTCTTCATTCACAACTTCCAGTGTTTTCTCGTTTGCTCTAATATTACTGAAGCTCAAGGGGTCAGACTAGACCAGAGTGAGCCTGGACAGGTGACTGAGTAGGGCTAGGCTGTTTAGATCTTAGTCTGTGTGTAAGGGGAGGCGTCAGTGGGCATAGGTAGTGGTAAGGTAGAAGGGGTCTGTGGTCATTTTAGCTTTAGACAATTTCTCGTTTACGCCAATAAAACTGATGCACAGCAGTTATAACATTCTGTGAGTTACAGCTTAGCTGATTTTTCTATAGTAAATAGCTTACAACAGAACTTATTTTAATTCCCTCAGAAGCATCTTATAAATAAGCTCAACAGTGCTTTACGTAGTTACGTGGGCTCAATTCGACTGGATTCACTTCCTGGTCTGTGAAAAGCTCACTGCAGATGCTACAAGGCCTATAATATTTGTTGTATTTAACTTATATTTTTGCTTAAATATTTTTAATGCATTCAAATAAAATAATGGTTGAACTACAGCCTGCAGTGTTTTTTAAAGTGTTGTGAAGCACAGAGAATAGAGAAGAATATAGAAAAATTAAAGAAATTTAAGTATAAATCTTACATGTCAGAGATTTGGCAAACAGTTTTCACACAGATCTAGGAATTTGGAATGTACTTACTTTAAACCTTTATACATGTATTTGAATCAGAATCATTCTCTCCATTGTATGGATCCAGTGGATCAATTTAGAATTTAAAGAACTTTTCTTACAAGGCAAAATATGTTTAAGTTCAAGCATTTTTAAAAGTGAACCTGTCCTGACGGGTTCACTTTAAAGGGACACTATAGTCACCAGAACAACTACAGCTTAATGTAGTTGTTCTGGTTAGTATAGTCAGTCCCTGCAGGCCACTAGAGGTTCAGTGTTTCCACACTCTGCATGGAGACGCTGAACTTTCCCATGGAGATGGATTTATTCAATGCATCTTTATCAGGAGGTGCTGATTGCCCACGCCAGCATTTGGCCCTGCCCCTGTCCCGCCTCCTTGACGATCTCAGCCAATCCAATGATTTTCCTATGGGATCAATTCTGATGTCAGTCAAGGAGGCGAATCGGGGGCAGGGCCAGCACCAGTGCTGAAAATAAGTTAAGTGTTATTACCTTTTAAGCAACCTAAGTAAAGGAACATAAAGGAACACTATAGGGACAGGGACACAAAGTGTATTCCTGACTAGACATGTGCGATTCGCAATTCGGACATTTGGATGCTTCAGAATGTCTGAATTGCCGAATTTCAGAAGTGCCGAATTTCGCAAGTGCCAAAGTGCTTCAGATTTTGAAAAGTTGCAAAACAGGAGAAGGAGGGAAAATTATGGGAATGATGACAGGAATCTAACCCAACCCCTGACCCCTAACTCTAACCTTACCCCTAACAGTATCCCTAACCCTACCTCTAAAGACTATTTAAAAGAAGAAAAACTACCACAACAAGAGGACATAGTCTTAAATTAGAGGGGCAAAGGTTTAAAAATAATATCAGGAAGTATTACTTTACTGAGAGGGTAGTGGATGCATTGAATGGCCTTCCAGCTAAAGTGGTAGAGGTTAACACAGTAAAGGAGTTTAACCCCTTAAGGACACATGACATGTGTGACATGTCATGATTCCCTTTTATTCCAGAAGTTTGGTCCTTAAGGGGTTAAGCATGCATGGGATAGACATAAGGCTATCCTAACTATGAGATAAGGCCAGGGACTAATGAAAGTATTTAGAAAATTGGGCAGACTAGATGGGCCGAAAGGTTCTTATGTGCCGTCACATTCTATGTTTCTATGTATTTATGGGTACTCTATGGGTTGTGGACAATTGTAATTAGTAATAATGGCATACATTACATACAATATATGTATTATGAAGGCTGGAAAGCTGAGAAAAGCTGACAGTTTTTGGCATGGTGGCAAATATGGTTTATATACATCATATATCCATACAACATCTATCAAATATGACCTTCTCCTGCATTTAGTATTAAAAGAACACTATAGTGCCAGGAAAACAAACTTGTTTTCCTGGCACTATGTAGTCCTTAGGTCCCTCCCACCCTCATGGCCCCCCTCCCGCTGAACTGAAGGGGTTAAAACCCCTTCAGCCACTTACCTTTATCTAGCGCCAGGCTCCCTTGGCACTGGTGACCTCTCCTCCCCCTCCGACGTTGGCTCCTGAGTGGAGCCGAATGCGCATGCGCGGCCAGAGCCGCGCGCACATTAAAATTGCCCATAGGAAAGCATTACTCAATGTTTTCCTATGGACATCAGTGTCTTCTTACAGTGAGAATCACAGTGACAATCACAGAAGCGGCCTATAATGGCTGTCAGTGTGACAGCCACTAGAGGCTGAATTAACCCAGCAGTGTAAACATAGCAGTTTCTGTGAAACTGCTATGTTTTCAGCTGCAGGGTTAAAACTAAAGGGACCTGGCACCCAGACCACTTCATTGAGCTGAAGTGGTCTGGGTGCCTATACTGGTCCTTTAAGAAGGTTCAGTGAGGTCACCGCACAACACCTCTGATAGTTAGTGGTCCCTGCCTCCTTGCTGGCCTTCACTTGCCTGGAACCCTAGCAACTTGCATTCAACTTGATATTCAAAAAATGTACAATCCACAATATAGTTTTTGCAATTTGACTATACTAAGCTCTATCTTGGTTGTACCTTTTTCGTTTTTAAAAAAAAAAATGTTTTATTGAGATTATACAAAGTAATAAAAAAATACAAGTTTTGTAGTTGTTTGTTACATTGTCTGTTTCTTTTTCATAGAAGTGTATTACCTCCTGCCTGGTGTAAAAAATGGGATTCTTTGCTTTGTCAGTACGTATCAATACTTATAAGGTCTCTGATTTTACAATGCACTAAAGAATTGTATCAGATTATGGCCTCAATTTAATATTTATTGATAGGATTTTGCAATGGTTTAATATTTGGATTCTGAATTGAATAAAACAAATTATTCAGTTGACAAACACATATTTGAAACATTTACCTTTTCCTCTCTTTTTTAAAATAAAACCCACAACCAGTTTGAATAGTGCAAACATAAATTTTTACTGCAAAAAAATATTCTTGTAAATAACTGTAAAAAATGTCAAATTTCCCCAGAGACCACTTTTTAATATAATTTCAGAAAAGAGTGCAACCCATACCAACTATACAAAAAAATCTGGACTGGATTTATAGCATGAGTACCCGTAGACAGAGTTTTCTAGTGCCAAACCTCTCCGAACTCAAGAATAAAAAAAACAAACCTGACCCATACAGACAGACACACTGACCCATACAGACTGACACACTGACCCATACAGACTGACACACTGACCCATGCAGACAGACACACTGACCCATGCAGACAGACACACTGACTGATACAGACAGACACACTGACCCATATAGACTGACACACTGACCCATACAGACAGACACACTGACCCATACAGGCAGACACACTGACCCATACAGACAGTGACACTGACCCATACAGACAGTGACACTGACCCATACAGACTTTTTAGGAAGAGCAGGCACCTGTTTACCTTGATGGCAAGCGCCTGCTCTAGCGAGAAATACTGGAGGAGAGGGGGACAGGAGGCAGGCCGCGACAATGTGGGTTGCGAGGGAGGCTGTTCTCGCAGCTTTCCACTACTCCCTCACGCGCCCTCTTTCATGCCGGGAGTCGGAATATGACATTATTCCGGCCCCGGCATACTAAACAGCACACTGGAGGAGTGAGAAGCGGCACCACACTGGACCCCAATTAAATTAAATTGTGTGAGTCTGTGTGTAAGTGAGTGTGTGTTTGACTGTCAGTGAGTGAGTGTATGTCTGTGTGTGTGTGTCAGTGAGTGAGTGTATGTCTGTCAGTGAGTGTGTATCTGTCTGTCAGTGAGTGTGTGTCTTTGTGTGTCTGTCAGTAAGTGTATGTCTGTGAGTGTTTGTGTCTGTCAGTGACTGAGTATGTGTCTGAAAGTGAGTGTGTGTTTGTCAGTGAGTATGTCTGTCAGTGAGTTTCTGTCAGTGAGTGTGTCTGTCAGTGTGTGTGCTCGTCTGTGCTAGTCTTATAAATTAAATTCACCAAATGCATTGAATACATAATTTATCACAGAGATACATTATGTATTCAATGTACAATATATGTATTAGGTAGTATGTGTGTATGGATGCATGCTTTAGGCAGTATGTGTGTATGGATGTAGGTATTAGGCAGTATGTGTGTATGGATGTGCGCAATGCGCATTAAGCAGTATGTGTATATGGATTACGCAATAAGCAGTATGTGTGTATGGATTTACGCATTAAGCAGTATGTGTGTATGGATGCACGCAGGGCCGCCACCAGAAATTTTGGGGCCACTAACTCAGCTCAGGGTCTGGTCCCCTTGGGGCCTGCCTCCAAATACCGCCCACAGGGTCCGCCTTCAAATACCGCCCACAGGAATACACACAGACACAAACACACACACTGATACAAAAGGACACAGATACATACTAACAGACACACATACTGAAACAGACATAGACGCATACAGGCATACATACTGACACACACATACTGAGACATACACACATATAGAGACACACAGGCATACATAGTGACAGACAGACACATACTAACATACATACAGACACACATACATGACGACATAAAGACATATACATACATACACACTGACATACATACAGACACCAACATACATACACACATACATACACACATACAGACACTGACATCCATACACACATACATTAATAATGGCATACAGACATTCACAGACATACATTCATAATGGCATGCATACATACATACATACAGACTGACAAACATGCATATATACAGACATACTGACAGACAGACATACATACTGACATACATGCATACAGACATCCACACACACATACACACAGACATACGTTCATAATGATATGATAGCGCTGACCGGGCCCATGAAGATATAGTGCCCATCGGGTGGCCCTAAGTGCATGGGCCACCCAATGGGCCTCATCAGCGTTATGGTTGTCACCCCCTGATGGCGGCCCTGGATGCATGTATTACGCAGCATGTGTGTATGAATGTAGGTATTAGGCAGTATGTGTGTATGAATGTCGGTATTAAGCAGTATGTATGTAAGGATGCATGTATTAGGCAGTATGTGTGTATGGATGTAGGTATTAAGCAGTATGTGTGTAAGGATGCATGTTTTAGGCAGTATGTGTGTATGGATGTAGGTATTAAGCAGTATGTGTGTAAGGATGCATGTATTAGGCAGTATGTGTGTATGAATGGATGTATTCGGCAGTGTGTGTTTATGGATGTACACATTAAGCAGTGTGTGTTTATGGATGTACACATTAAGCAGTGTGTGTTTATGGATGTACACATTAAGCAGTGTGTGTTTATGGATGTACACATTAAGCAGTGTGTGTTTATGGATGTACACATTAAGCAGTGTGTGTTTATGGATGTACACATTAAGCAGTGTGTGTTAATGGATGGATGTATTAGGCAGTGTGTGTGGATGTAGGTATTAAGCAGTATGTGTGTATGGATGTACGCATTAGGCAGTATGTGTATATTTTGCAACTATTAACTAAAATAATATTCATGACTAAATGTCATACGTGTTCTGATTTTAGGATGTTTGATGGCTCTCATTAACGTTTGTTTTTATCGGTTGTGATTACAGAATCTGAATTACAGTGTGATTCTTGGGCAAAGTCGAAAAACACTGTGCAAGCCGTTATCTTAAACTATTTCAAAGAGGCTCTTGAAGCTCACCCTGAAGATTTCAGTGGAGATGTAGCCACATTTAAGAAAGAGTATGACAAAGGTAAATAAAACAAGAATTGTCTATTTGCCTGTTAAAGTTATAGTTCCAGGCTGGCGTAAAAGGAATACTCCAAGCACCAGAATCGCAATAGCTCAACTATATTGGTGTCATGAAGAACCAATTCAGTAGAGCATGTTGAAATCCTCCAAGGCAGCCGCTAGTAACTGAATGTTATCTGATTTTCTCTGCCCCCCACCTAGGTAGCATGGTATGGTCCACTCACAGGCCAATGAATAGGCCAGTCGATGAGTTGCATGTAGGCAGATGTGATGTCTGCCATCACATGTTTGGATTCACAATGTTGTCTAACTAAAAGTAAAAAAAAACTGATGGAACTCTGGGTCAAGGCTCTGCAACATATAAAGTGACTCAATCAATGGAAGATACCCCTGCCAATGACATTACTTTTTTCTTGTAAATGAATCCCAGTATTGTAACAAGATATTCGGAATATCATTCACATGAATAGCTAAGGAACGAATTCTCCCTACCTTGCCTCTCTCTTTCTTAACCACACGCAGATCATGCCTTTCCAATCCTTCAGACTTTCTCCCCAGCTACTGAACAAGAAGTGGATGCGCTTCTCCTTTCCTCTTGCCCCACCACTTGCCCACTTGATCCAGTCCCATCACCTTATCAGGTCTCTCTCCCCTTGTCTTGTGCCTTCCTAACACACATCTTCAACTGCTCTCTCTCTTCTGGCGTTGTCCCTACTGACCTTAAACATGCCACTGTTGTACCCATCCTGAAAAAAAACAGCTCTTGAGCCGTCCTCCCCCTCCTTCAATCGTCCCATCTCCCTGCTGTCTTTTTCCTCAAAGCTTCTGGAAACACTTGTCTTTACCTGTATGTCTCATTTCCCCAATTCCAACTCTCTCCTTGACCCTCTTCAAATTGGCTTCCACACCCTCCACTCTACTGAGACTGCTCTGAAAAAAACCCAGCTCTTGAGCCGTCCTCCCCCTCCTTCTATCGTACCATCTCCCTGCTCCCTTTTTCCTCAAAGCTTCTGGAAAGACTTGTCATTACCCATATGTCTCATTTCCTCAATTCTAACTCTCTCCTTGACCCTCTTCAATTTGGCTTCAGCGCCCTCCACTCTACTGAGACTGCTCTTATGAAAGTTATTAACAACCTAATCGCAGCTAAATCTAAAGGCCCCTATTCAATTCTAATTCTTCTTGACCTCTCTGCTGCTGTCTTGCAATGTGTCACTGCTTGCCTTTCTTTATTTTATCTACTGATCCTCCTCTTTCGCTCTCCCTTCAAGTTAGTGGTATCCACATTAGTCTATCCTTGCAAGTGCGCTGTCTTGGCGTTATACTTGATTCTGGCTTCACCTGTGAGCCTCATATCCAGTATGTTACCAAATCCAGTAGATTTGGCACCCATCCCTGTCTTATGCAAGATGCTACTGAGGAGATTGTCCATGCTCTAGCATGGATTGACCATTTCTTGCATGGATTGTAACCCTCTCCTAATTGGTCTTCTCAAAAGCTGTATTGCCCCGCTACAGTCTGTAATGAATGCTGCCGCCAGACTGATTTTCCTCTCCAGTCAGTCCTCTCACACCGCAACCCTCTGTCAGTCCTTACATTGGCTTCATATATCCTACAGGAGTCAATTGAAAGTACTAATCCATACATATAAAGCATTGAACAATTCTGGCACCTCTTATATCTCCTCACAGATCTATAGGTATGCCCCTTCTCTGTCTCTCCGCTCTGCCCATGACCTTGCCCCGTTTGGCCAACTCATGGACTTCTCGCGGTCGGCTCTCTTCCTATGGAATAGCCTGTCTACCACCATCAGACTCTCCTCTAGTCTTCAATTGTTTAAGAACTGCCTTAAAACCCATCTATTTATGAAAGCTTATGGTCCCCTCGGAGTAACCCCAACCTCACATACCTGTCTCTGGATTTCTCCTAAATGGCAGCACTCTACGCTCTCCTCAAGCTCTGCTTCTCTCCCACCATATATGAATGCTAGCTCCTGTCCTATTGTATTTCATACCCCACCTCCTATAGCAGGGGTAGGCAACCTACGGCACTAGTGCCATGCACGGCACTCGATGTGTCTTTGCACGGCACTCAAGGCTGCTAGAGCCAAACGCACTCTGGCCTATCAGGAGTCCCAGTAAGGCTTCAGATATCTGCTAATACGAAGAGGTGGTGAAGGAAAAACCTCAATTTATGCATTGCAGCACATAGAGGAAGTGATCTCAGATCACTTCCTCCCAGCACTTGTGAATGGGAATGGGAATCCACACAGTAGTAGAGCAGCCCTCGACAGCTATCGCAGCTCCTGTCCTTGACCTGTGCCTGGCCAGCCTGGTCCCCACTGGAACCCAGGGAACCCACCCACACTGCTAGATATACACAGAAATGTAGAATAACCCTCCCCTCATACAAATAATATGAACAGCCCACACACACACAACACACAACACACAATCCCCACAAACACAACTCCACTAACAATATACATACATGCACACAACTCCACATGCGGCCTCTCACATGCAATACCCCAAACAGCCCCCACACACTACCAAACACATAATGTGACATATCCATCCACACACAATTCCACAAGCAGCCCTCATACACAGCCCACATTCATATATATCATACACGATACCATAAACTGCTAATGAACATATACAATATAATAGCTCATATACGCACAAATACAACGTAATCTCATATACAAAGCAATTACAGTAAAAATAACACAAGCAGAATACGGCAGCATACACACCTCAATTTAAAAAAATAGGATCGGCACGCTACGGGACATCACAATCCCATATCGGCACAGTGCTGCTAAAAGGTTCCCTACCCCTGTCCTATAGACTGTAAGCTTGTTTGAGCAGGGCCCTCTTCAACCTATCGTTCCTGTAAGTGTTTTGTAATTGTCCTATTTATAGTTAAATCGCTCCCTTCTTTTAATATTGTAAAGCGCTACGGAATCTGTTGGTGCTATATAAATGCCAATAATAATAACAATTAGATCTGTTTTTTTAATATTTATTATCCTATGGTACATACTGAGACATGTACATTTCTATTATATGTTTCAAGATGTTTAATTAATCCTGTGAATTTTTTTTAAACATTTATTTACTAAAGAATTTATTCCATTTTAATGTTGTTAAATATAGATTTTGCACATTTTTTTTTAATAGGTGATACATTGAGAGATTCCAATTGTTAGCTTGTCTTTTTCCCTTTACACTGAAACGAGACAGGTGTAAGTTTTAATAAAAAGGTGACAAGCATGTAAAGGAGCCCATAATTATTATATTATATTATTTTTCTCTGTTATTGTATTTTTAATCTATTGGTATGTAATCTCATATAGTCATATTTTACTACAATTTAAGATTAGTGACACTTGTTGATGTTGTACATTAACTGTATTTCCTAGATTGCAAATAAATAGCTAAAAAAAAAAGCTTGTTTCCCTGCAGATCGAGCGTGTTTTAAACTGCTAATTTACAGAGATACATTGTGTAAAGGATTTTCAGTGGCATTTACCATCACAATTCTAAACAAGACGTACTACTTATCCTGCATAAACACGAAAGAGCTTCGCTTCAAGGTAATACAATTCTACACTAGCACAACTATCAATTTAACCAGTTCAAATCTTAGCAAGGAAAGGAAAGGGATTTAGGGGTGATTATTTCAGATGACTTAAAGGTAGGCAGACAATGTAATAGAGCAACAGGAAATGCTAGCAGAATTCTTGGTTGTATAGGTAGAGGTATTAGCAGTAGAAAGAGGGAAGTGCTCATGCCATTATACAGAACACTGGTGTGACCTCACTTGGAGTATTGCACACAGTACTGGAGACCGTATCTTCAGAATTACATTGATAGGGCTACTAAACTGGTTCATGTATTGCAGAAACTTACCAGGAAAGGTTAAAGGAACTTAACATGTATAGCTTGGAGGAAAGACAAGACGGGGGGGATATGATAGAAATATTTAAATACCTAAAGGGAATCAACACAGTAAAGGAGGAGACTATATTTAAAAGAAGAAAACAACAAGAGGACATAGTCTTAAATTAGAGGGACAAAGGTTTAAAAATAATATCAGGAAGTATTACTTTACCGAGAGGATAGTGGATGCATGGAATAGCCTTCCAGCTGAAGTGGTAGATGTTAACACAGTAAAGGATTTTAAGCATGCGTGGGATAGGCATAAGGCTCTCCTTACTATAAGATAAGGCCAGGGACTAATGAAAGTATTTAGAAAATTGGGCAGACTAGATGGGCCGAATGGTTCTTATCTCCCTTCACATTCTATCTTTCTATGTTTCTAAGAAAGCAGAAGATGGTACCTTGTACTTAATTTCAATGGAAACCTTCCCTCATTCTCTCTATACGTTGTGTGCTAATATATAGATACCGCAACTAAAGGCTTTCAAAATTACATTGTTCCCATGTCAGTCATACTAACAGCATCGTCTTTGTGCCAATGTTTGTTGGCAAGAGAACATCCCTACAGGCTATTATCTTGCCTGGCATCAATGTTTATAAGACACATGCAATACAAGCACATATTTTTTTTCCCCATGAATAAGCTGGAAACATGTAAGGGAGATCGGCAGGACACATGACGTGCTATTTGGGCTGATGTGCTGGCAAAGAAATCAGCACATCACCATCATCAGACGGGCTGTACCAGACATTTGTAAAGAGTTTTAATGTTTCCCAAAGAGGGGCTGATGAATGAGAGAAGGTTTCTGCCCACGAACAGGGACTAATATTCGTGGCTCAGGAGATGAATATAGTGAATAGATGATATTGACACATAGCAGGAATGTGAAAAAAACAACAACTTTATTTGGATACTAGACATGCAAATAAACAGGCAAAAGCAAAAAAAATAAAAATAAACGACAGGATCAATGTAATGATAGTTTCCATAAAACTACTAGTGATTAGGTATCCCTGCATTACAGACTTTATTCCCCACTTCACTCGTGCGTACTGAGATCTGGATAGGGTATTGTGATGTGAAGATAAAAGGAAACACAAATCTATATATAAAGACAGACAGACACAGATAGATAGAGAGAAAGATATAAAGACAGGAGGAGGGACAGACGGACATGTGGACAGACGAGTGACTGGATAGACAGACAGACGGAAGGACAGGCAGACGGGTGGATGAACAGAGGAATGGGTGGACAAACACACAGGTAGATGGAGCAAGTATGAAAGGTAGATGGACAGACAGACAGATGGATAGACAGACAGATTACACCTAAACAATGAGCTGCTATATAATTTAGAGACATCTACATACTAATAAACACATATTGCTTCTTTTATCTTTCTTCAATTTCAGGAAGGAGACCCACCCCAAAAAATTGATGGGAGCACAAGTGATGTCATCTTCTACCAGAAAAACGCTTCTAAAGGAGATCCAAGTAGCTTTGTGTTTGAGTCTGCATTAGGCCAAGGATACTTCCTTGCTTTCAAGAACGAAGATGGTAAACACAAGCTGACACTGAAAAGACCTGAAGATCAAGTAGATGAAAGAACACATTTTCGGACTGTGTCTAAAAAGAGTTGATCATAAATCTATAGTTATGGGTGGTACTCAGCATACGTCAGACAAGGAATCGTGGGTTTGACTGCAAGGCCTATTTGCTAATGGGCACTATTAACATTTTATCACATTGAATTGCATCTCCAAGCAGCCCAATAACAAAGACTCTATAGGCATTTGGCAATTGTTTTTTATGGAGGATCTGTTTCTTAAAGCCAGAACTGGATCTTGCTAGGACTTCTTTGATGCAAGCATTTCCCACCACGTTACATTTTATTCAAACTAATTAAAAACCCTCCAAGTATCATATCCGCTATTTTTCTTCAATAACACCTGTGACGAAGTGCCCTTCGCCACTTCTGCCTGGAGAGGCTTAATTGCCAGCCTCCTGCCATGTGACTATGGTCCCTGGGAGACTTTGCCAGTTAAAAAGACTACTTGGGCTTATTGGCTTTTAAAAGACTGTTTCTGCCCTTTGATTCCATGGGAGCATGTGTCTCTTCCCCTCCCCCTCTTATACCTATACCATTGTTCTCCAGCAGGGCATTGTCCCAGGGACACTGCCAAACCAGTTGAAGCAAGCTGTTTTGTCACAAATAGGACTTTTACCTAACTTTTGAACTACTGGAGGGAATTGTATGATTTTAGTGACTAGAGAAGGGCATGGAAGGGATAGGAGTCATGTAGAATAACCCGTAGGCCACTTTGGCAGTAGTAAGAGGAAGATCAGTATGCAGAGTGCATAAAATTACAAGAATGAAAAAAGCAGATCCTATGTATATTAGGGTAAATTCAATATGTGTAAAGTATGCAAATCGTGAACATAACCACAGTAACGAAGTAAAAAAAAATCAGGAGCCATCCCCAAGACTCGTGGAACATCCGATCAAAGAGCCTGGTGTCAGCTGCTGCCCGATCTGCAAAGCCGCTGGAACTGTGTGCAAAAGTCAATGGAGAACAAGATCAGGACAATGTCCAGCAAGTCAGGCATCGTGATTCCACACAGGCAGCATCAATGCAACCACAAGACCAAATTAGGTGAATGGTGAGTATAGGGCAGATGTATAAACTCCAGCTCGGTAGTCACCCACAGCATTCTTAAGTCCATTGATAGAGTGCCCTGCATGTTAGCAGGATCTTTATCCTCTGGTGGGGAGGCCCTTGCATGAGGGCCCAACTGCTCAGTGCATCCACTTCATTGGCCCGTTGAGTTCTCCTGCATGGTCAACTGCAGGTGAGGGATGTTGTGGGTTCTGGAGATAGCAACTCTATCTCTCTACAATGCCGAGCCAGAAGGCTGCAAAAAATATCATCCAGCCATTGGAGAGAAGAACGTGGCTGTGCTGCTTTAGAAGGCCTAATATTGCTACCCATTTTAAGTTTTTTTCTGATTGCTCCATTACTCACATTGGCTTATCTTCTGTTCATCAATACCAATTACCGGCCTGTGCTGATTATTGTTACATTATTTCCGCACTGTTATGATTGACAGAGCCCCATCCTACTGCCCTGTTATTAGGAACATAATTAAAAGTTATCATTAAAATAGGTGCAAAACCTCTGCTAACACACCACAAAAAATCACAAAGGATGGTGGACCATGCCTTACTTATTGTGGATATAAACTGCCACCATCATAATTTGCACCTTAGTGACATTCTTCTGGAACAAACACCTAACCTCTGTTCAAGTTATTCTTATTCCTCTCACTATTGTTTTGGTATAAAGTATTGCCATCTAGTGTACATAGAAAAGTTTTTTAGATTTTTTTTTTTAATTTATATATAGTTTTTCTTTAAGGATTATTTTCTGCATTCATAATTAGTCTTGTATATTTAATCTTTTGCAGAATTTTAATAAAACCTACACCAGCACATCTTGCTAATGCGGCAAGTTGGTTCCAGACCACTACTATAAAGCAAATTACATGCTTTTTTTGAATATGCTACAGCATATAAAACCTTAATTGTTATACTACCATACAATACATGTATATTAAAGGAACACTCCAAACCTAGATAACTTTATTTTAGTGATTTCTTTTTTGTATGTGTGAATGTGTCCTTTTTAAAAAAAAAAAAATGTTTACAATTTGAGGATTTATAACTTTTTTGACATGTGTTTTTCTGTTTTTTGTTTTGTTATTCTGTCTCTCACTGTTAAAATACACCTACCATTAAAATTATAGACTGATCATTTCTTTGGCAGTGGGCAAACGTTTAAAATCAGCAGGGGATCAAATACTTTTTTCCCCTCACTGTATATGGTTGTATAACGAATTGCTGGTTTTATGAAAATCCAAAGCTTTATTTGCTCATGAAAGTTTGATGCATTGTATAGGACTCGGTATGCCTATGAGGTCTATCCATGTTTTCCTAGTGAGGAGGTTAATAATAGCACTTGACTTATTTTTAATGGAACACTATAGTCACCTAAATTACTTTAGCTAAATGAAGCAGTTTTAGTGTATAGATC